GCGCCCCTGCACGCGGGGCCTCATCACCACCTCCCGCCGCAGCCCGCGCTGTCAGCCCCGCAGATGAGTGAGCCATAAACAGTTCTTCACAGAGACGTTTTTCACACGCAGGGCCACATGTTAACAGTTTTTCTTTATTTACTGCCTCCATTTCCTCTTTGTTCCAGGAACTTGTCCTCCAACTTCAAGCTGCTCATGATTAGGCAAAAAGGCCTCTAATCTCCCCGATCTGATTTACCGTCACTGAGAGCAGACGCTTCCCGTTACTGGCCCTGGACCTGGGAGCATGGACAGCCGAGCTCTGCCGGCTGCCGAGCTGAGCCTCTCCTCCCCCAAGCTGACCCACTGCACCCGCCAGCAGCTTCCTCTTCCAGTAAGCGCCGGGCAGCGCGGCCGCTCACGCCGCAGGTGAAGGGCTGGGGGGGCACTGTGGCCGCGGGGCCCTGGGCCGGGGACCCTGCCATGTCTGGGACAGCTGCCCTGGGGCAGGGCAGGCTCTGGAGCTGCTTCTTCTGCTCCTTTGGGAAGGGACGGCTGCTCGGAGCATCCCTCGGCCATGGCCTCCCCAGCTGCTCGCCCGTCTGCTCCCGCTGTACCCAGCAGCGGTGGCCGGGGGCCCTGGGATGCCCTGCGGGGCCACCGGACCAGCTGCAGCGGTGTGTAGAGCACCCGTCCTGGCGATGACTCTCGCCTCAGCCCCTGCGAGCGCTGGTTTCGGAGACCTGAGGGGGGTGGCCGGGGGCTCTGTGCTGTGCAGCCCCCTCCAGCCTGGGCAGAGCCTGGGGTCTGCGGCCACGCAGGGGGCTCCTTTGCTGCAGAGCGGTCACATCCTTTGCAGGACCATTGCAGCGTGGCCGGGACTCTTCTGCGGACCCCCACATCCCGCCAGCCCCCCCGGGGGCTCTGGGCTGGGACCTGCCTCACGGGTCCCCCCCCACCGCACGGGGCTCAGTGGGGCCTTGGCGGCGGCTCTGCGGGGCCAGTGCCAGGGCCCGCGGGAGGGCTCGTGGCCACGTGTGGGGCTGGCTGAGCCAAGG